CATCAGCAAAATGAAAAGGCAACCAACCGTATGGAAAAATGTATTTGCCAATGAGACCTTGGACAAGGGTTTGATCTCCAAAATATATGAAGAACTCACATGACTCCACAGCAGGAAGACAAACAATCCAATTAAAAAATGGGCAAAGGACCTGAACAGACACCTCTCCAAGGAGGACATACAGAGGGCCCAGAGACATATGAAAGGATGCTCGGCATCACTAGCCACCCAGAGAGATGCACACTAAAACTACAGTGAGGTACCACTTCGCACTGGTCAGAATGGCCATTATAAACAAATCAACAAACAAGTGCTGGTGAGGATGTGGAGGAAAGCGAACTCTGGTGCACTGTTGGTGGGGATGCAGACTAGTGCAGCCACTGTGGAAAGCAGTATGGAATTTCCTCAAAAAACTAAAAATGGAACTGCCTTTTAATCTGGTGACTCCACTGCTGGGATTATATCCCAAGAACCCTGAAACACCAATCCAAAAGAACCTATGTACCCCAATGTTCATAGCAGTGTTATTTACAATAGCCAAGCACTGGAAGCAACCTAAGTGCCCATCAGTAAATGAGTGGATCAAAAAACTGTGGTGCATTTACACAATGGAATTCTACGCAGAAGGAAAGAAGGAGCTCCTATCCTCATGACAGCATGGATGGAACTGCAGAGCATTATGCTAAGTGAAATAAGCCAGGCAGTGAGAGACAAATACCATTCGATCTCACCTCTAAGTGGAACATAATCAACAAAACAAGCGAGCAAAGTAGAAGCAGAGGCATGGAAATAAAGAACAAACCAACAGTGACTAGAGGGGAGGGTGAGGGGGGTAAAGGGGAAAAAAAGGGGAGGGGTCAGGTCAAGGAACATGTATAAAGGACCCACAGACAAGGACAATGGGACGGGGGGAGTGAATGTGGGAGAAGGTGGGTGGATAGGGCAGGGGAGAACAATGGAGGAAAATGGGGACAGTTGTAATTGAACAATTAAAAAAGTAAAAAAAAAAAAAAAGAAATGCAGTTCAATGTTGCCTAATTTTGTTTTTACAGAGAAGTTGAAAGGCTGACTTTTTAGGTGAAATTTCTGATTTCTAAATGTCAGAAACTAATTCAATTAAGCCAAACATAATACATGTGTGGATAGGGCCCATTGGCCACCAGCTGGAGGCCACTGCTCTGTGTATGCTGTCTCCTGTAAGACCCACAGCACTCTGGAAAGTTGTATTATCATCCCCAGAGAATCCTGACGAGAAAACTGAAGTGTAGAGAGGTCATCACTTTAACAGGAAATGACAGGACAAGAATTCTAGTCCAGCCCTGACCAGTGCGGCTAGTTGGTTGGGCATCATCCTGCAAAGTAAAAGGTCGCCAGTTCGATTCCCAGTCCAGGCACCTGCTTGGGTTGCAGGTTCGGTCCCCAGTCAGCATGTGTACAAGAGGCAGCTGATCAATGTTTCTCTCCCTCTCTAAGAATAAATCTTAAAAAAAAAAAAAAATTCTATCCCAGGGCTGTCTTACATCAAAGTCCATCCAGCTGTCTTTACTTTCAAGTGGCTGGTTTGAATTTCCAGGGACTTCAGGCTTGAAAGAAGCTTTGCTCTATGGCTGCCTACCCAGCAAGAAAGGTTCTTTAATGGTACTTCCTTCTTAGTTTCTTTCTACTTCAAAGATAAAATTTCTTGTGTTTATTTTTAATGCCTTTCTTGCAATAGGCCAGGAAGTAAAAACGATGAAGAGACCCACAGGTCACTACTGTTTTAGGCATTCAGATAACTCTGCTTCCAAGTCACGTGCTGGGGGATCCTCGCACAGTTAAGTGCCCGGCACGCCGTTCAGTTCCTGGAACCTTTTCTCCCCACCACGGTATTTCTTAGTTTCCTGTGTACTCACAGGTGGATGCCACCCACTCTTTACCCCGAGGAGTTCTAGTCATTCAACCAGGCACACATTTACTCAGGACTGCAGGCACTCAAAGGCGAGGTCTGCTCTACAGGAGGTCGGCTTCCTGATCTCCCAGGTGTGCCTTCGTTTGTACGCCTCCTGTATGGTAGCATCTCTGTGTTCCCAACTCCTCCCAAGACTCTTCTCAGACACAGGGAGGCCAGGCAGGGTAGGCAGTGATTCCACTGAGGAAGTAAAGGAAGAGATGGAGTTTCTTCAGACTGGAGTTCATGGTCACTCAGCAAATACGAATGCCTACCTCCTGGAGGCAGAGCCATGTGTTGGGACTGTTCTCACTGAGCACAAATTCTGTTGAGCTGTGTCCACAGGATACTTTTTATGCTGACAAAGTCAAGCACGCAGACCCTAAGCTCTTTGTTCTCATGCACCTGTTGGTTTTCCTTGGAGTTACTTTGTTTTTTTCCAGTTGCTTGAATTTCTATGCACCTATCATTACATTCATGCTGAGACTCAGATAGAGTAAAACTTTCGCTAGACACATTCACGTGTACTAGGTGTGGATCTTGCATGGACTTCCATCCCTCCTGGAATCATCTGGACAGGTTGCTGTCAGTATCTGTCATTGTCACTTCCCTTTGCCATCTCCCTGGGGTTTTTCATGTGCCCCCCTACTTCCTGGACCCATGTTTCCCTGCCTCGTGGCTTAGTCTGTCATTTGACAGTGTACATCCTCCTGCAGCTTCCTAAAAGAGAACATGGGAGGTGGGAGATGCAGAGTTTCAGATCTGCCTTAAGAAAATGTCTTTTTTCTCATACCTGGTTAATGGCAAAGCTGATAAAAAATTGTACATTGAAAGTCTATTTCCTTCAGAATGTTGATGGCCTTGCTCCAAGGTCTTCCAGCATCAGTTCCTATTGGGCAGTCTGATGTCTCCTCCCCGAAGGCTCTTTATCCCAGATTTCTGAAGTCTCGAGATGTTGGGTCTTGGTGCAGGGTTCTTCTGTTCATTACACTAGGTACCTGGAAGGTCTTCTGATCTTGAAAAATTTCTTGTGCCCTTTCTCGTCCTCTCTTTTGCACTAGTCCCCTGCACACGCTCCCTCCGTACCCTCCTGGAGCCCCTGTCGTGTGGATGTGAGAACTTTTAGGCTCAGCCTCTTGTTTTCACCTTAGCTCTCCCATTTCCCATCTCTCTTGCGTTTCTGTTCTTTCTGGAAGATTTTTTCCAACTTTATCTAACTATCTTCCCTTCCACTAAATCTTTTATTGCAATAATCATATTTATTTCCAAGAGCTCTTTTCTATTTTCTGCATGTCCCTCCTTTATAGCCTCTTACAATCTCTTCTCTTCTTTCTCTGAAGATTCTTTTTCTCAAGAAAAAAAAGTTTCCTTCTACTCCTCACTTGGTTTCTATTTCCTAAGTTTGTCTGTTTCTCTCACACTCATATGCGAGTTTCCCTCAAATGTTGGGTGAAGTACTAAAACGCTCCCCCGCAGTGCGGTGTTTCAGGTGTGTGAAGGGCAGAGAGGAGGAAGGGGAGGCTGTCACTGAACCAGTGAGAAGGTGGGGCCGGCTATTTTAATGGGAAACCTCCAAGTTTCATTATCTACATGACTTTTTCTCCTGGACCAGTCAGTTTCTGCAGAAAAGAAGTCTCTGGCCTCTGGGACTGTAGATCCAGTTGTTCTAGGAATCAAACTGGGAATGGCAGTGAGGAGACCCACTTTGAGGAGTACGGAGATTGTCACTTGTCACCTAACCCTGATTTTCTGCACAGCACCCCATCCCTAGCTGGGCCTCATGTTTGAGAGTCTAGAATCTCTTTGGTGCATCTTCTTTTGGGGTAAACCAGACTTGTGTCTCTGTGGGAAAGGGGTCTTCCTTGGCTATGCACAGGAGGGGCGGGGCCTGGGGTACCTATGGCTTTTCACACAGACTATAGACCAGTTCTCCTGTGTCCCGCTCTATCCATGCCTTTGCTTTCTAAGGTACCTGGAATCTCCAAATTTTCAGCTGACTTCAGGTTTTTAAAAAAATATATATATTTAAAAATATTTTATTTATTTATATGTAGAGAGAGGGGAAGGGAAGGAGACAGAGAAGGAGAGAAATGTGGATGTGAGAGAGAAACATCAATCAGTTGCCTCTCGTATGCATGTTGATCGGGGACCAAACCTGCAACCCAGGCATGTGCCCTGACCAGGAAGGAATCGAACTGGCGACCTTTCACTTTGTGGGACGACAGCCCACCAACTAAGCCACCCCAGTCAAGGCTGATTTCAGGGTTTGAGGTGTCAATTCTTGGCTATGCCCTTCACAGGCATTTAGCTTTCCCAGTCTGCTCGGTGACCATTTGTGCATCTGCCTTTCAGCACCAAATGTTGTTGACAACTCTCTCTGCTATCACATCCTATCCTCTTCTCTTTGTACTTATGGGTTTCCTTTTTTTACATCCCTTATCATCCCTAGAATGGAATTAGGGAAGAATCTATTATCTTTACTGAAAGCTCTGACCCTGAGCTTTTTCAATGACCTTGGTTAATCAGAAGAGGTAAACAGCCTGAGATAAAAATCAGGAAAAGAGCAAAATAAAAGACTAAGAACGGGTGTTTTTATAGGCCATTGTTCTTAATTTAGCTTTTTTAACTGACTAGAAGGTTTAAATCCTACCTCTCCAGCTTACAGATTCCTCGACCTTACATAAGTTACTCAGCACGTCTTACCTTCGTCCCAATACCTAAAGTGGCAACACCACCTAGATGGCGGCATCGTGCACCACAGTGCACTTAAGCAGCTCAGTGCAAAAAGGACAAGATGGACTTGTTCTTTGTACAACACGAATTTGAGATGTTAGAGGAACAGCCACACACAGAGCTATTTGTCAGAAGTTTGAATATTTTTCATTCGGCAAATATTCCCCCAGCACTTTTTATACAGAAGATCCTATGTTATGCCCAGAGGAAGAGAGCTGAAAAAATGTGTGAAATCATCCCACAGCAGGTGGACATGATGGCAGAGACCGGCTGAAGCTTAGAAGGGAGGAGTAAAAGCCATCCACGCAGCCCAGGGAAGAGAGGCCAGGGCTACCCTTACCTTTCTTTGTCTTACAAGGTCCACATTCAGGTTGAATCTCCTGTAAGGGAAGAGACACCACCTTTGCCAGACCAGCATTCAGCATGTACTGGTATAAACGCTTAAATGTCCTTTCACACAGCCCCTGCCAACACAAAATTTAAAGCCACCATCAGGTTCAAGCAAGGTGTCTGAAATTACTAAAGCAGCATGTAAACAAACCCAGTTCGAGACCCAAGTTAACTGCCCATCCTGAATGAGAACTCACTGGCGGTGTTCGTGAGGGGAAGACTGCTAAGCTACATTGCCACGGGAACAAAACAAGGCCAGAGCAGCGTACTAATAGTTCCAGCCTTTGACTATAGAGGGGGAGGGGGAGATTTTCCTAAAGAAATTCTAGGGGTGAGCACAAGGCAGAGGGAGGTGGAGAAAAGATACTTTTCACCATGTAACATTGTTTTGACTTGAACCAAGTGAGTGTGTTAATTATTAATACCCATGCATGCCCCTCCCACAGGCATTAGAACAAATAGGAAAAATACTAAAAAACATTAAAAAAATTTTCTATCTGTGCAGTTTCACCATTTATCCCAAAATGACCAGAAGTGCATTTGAACTGCAGGAGCTACCAACGCCCAGCCTCCAGTACTGGCCACATTTTTTCAGATGTGTGCAATTTACTGGCCAGCACTGAAAAGTGAGAGATTTTATATAAAAACACACATTCTTGCTTCTCTTGAAAAAAAAGATCTGGCAAGAAATCTTAGGACTGTGCTTTGGGGCAGCCGTCAGCGGGAGCCGAGGGCAGCTCCTCCATCCAGACGGCACGCCGGTCTCCTCGGTGCCAGCGCCTTCACACTCCCAGGAGGCTCTTGCACAGGGAGGCTGAAGATCGGTTTCCACTGATCACCATTTTTGTACTGCTTTTCTCTTACGACAGTTAGGAGGAAAATTAAGTATTTCTTGAATCCATACCGATACCAAGCAGTACTTCTCTACCTGACACGTTCAACTCATTTACATCGCCCTCCTTGACACTGTGGGCATTTGATTTTGCAACCCCAGAACAGGTGAGGCAAGTCACCACTGCTTTAAGTTATGGACTGAACAATGGGAGGCACTCCTGACTAAGAGTTGTGAGTCTTCCAGGTTTCCTCTTACACTCTGGGGGAGAGGGAGGGAACCGATGTCTGTGGGCCACCGCCACCACATATGTGAGACCAGCTTTCAGACTAGTCACCACTGTAGCTGTTGGGCGGCAGAACATATGGCTATCAAAGAAATACGGACGACTCACATATGGCACATTCAAACCCACTGGCTTGGAAATGGCATCTGTCGTTAATCTAGCTGTGCCCCTGACATCGTGGAAAGACCCTTCGGAAACTCATCCATCAAACCCCAGCCCTTAACATATGGTCTGAGCCCTGGCCCATCCCAGGCGAGAGGGGTTGCCGTAGTCCTGTGTGCCGGGGGCTGCCATAAAGGACTCACACTGTCTGCCCAGCAAGAAGAGAAAGAAGCAATAGGAGCACCCCCTGCTGCCTCCTCCCAAAGTTAGCATCTATAGTCATGTCATCAACCTTATCTACAGGCTAAGGATTCACTACATCCTGCCAAGGTCACTGTGACCTCTATTTCCAGTTGCCAAGTGAATGTCCCATAAGATCCTCATAGTCGGTGAATCCAGAAATCAAACTTGTCATCTGTCGCATCTTCACTCAGGCTTATTCCTCACTCTGTACTTGACTTTGTTCCCACATCATTCACACATATTTACTGAGACTTTACTGTGGGCCCGGCACTCTCCTTGCGGTGGGGGCTCCACAGTGAAGACGGGGTCCCTGGCCTCATGATCTGGCCCTCAAGCTCCAGCCTACTTCTGCAAGGGGTGCTCTCCCGAGCCAGACAAGACTCCTCCATTCAGCTCTGTATAATGGCTTTGGACACTCACCAAGTCCTGGGACTGTCACCTCCAGAATGACTCCAAAATGTTTCTAGCCAGTCGCCTACCTGGCCTGAGGCAGCAACATCTATTTTACACCCCCACTTCCAATCTCTTCTGTCCACCAGTTCATTTCCTGAACGCTCATCTCTTCTGGTAACTCATCCACTTCTAAACTGCCACCAGCACTTTATCCCAAGTCTTCCACCTGGTACTTGTGACCTTTCCTATGTGGCCCCAAACATCCCTTCCAGCCAACTTCCAAAAAAAAGTCCCATAGCCTCCAAAAGCTTCACACCTTTGCTCAAGCCATTCTCTCTCACCCGAAATGCCATTTCTCCTTTGTCTACTGCGGGAACACTTAATTTTCAAAGCCCAGCTCTGTAACGTGCTCTGTGAGGCTCCTCCCAGCTCTCTCGAGGGGGCATCTCTGCCCCTCCTCGGAGCTCAGGCATGCCTTTCTCGGCAGCACGCTAGCCTCAGAGTGCGCTCATTGCTGCCCCTGGTGAACCGCTCCATGACAGCAGGAGACCTGCCATCCCCATAAACTTTTTATCATCTTACTGTAGAACATGGTTCTGACTCAAAGTAAACACTCATGCAGTTTTTGTTCAGTGAAGAAATGAAACAGTGTCTGGTAGCAGGTAAGCCTTGTTGCTTACCGTCCACAGTGCCAACCTGGGACAGCCCAGCCCCGTCTCCCCACCCCCGAGGGACCCCCTACGGCAGGAGGCTTCAGCCTGTCTGCATGGGCTGGACAAGAAATAGAAAGAACAAAGCGGGCAGATATTTGTTTACTAAGCACATAGGAATTTTCTTCATTTCTATTAGGGTCTCTTAAGAACAGGCCTTAAAAGTCTACTTTTTATTTTTCCACCCTTGCTGGAGACTGAGATACAGAGATGTTTGCCTCCTGCCATGCACAGCAGTGCAGACGCACTCGGGAGGACAAATGGCACCAACCGCCTCAGGGTCCAAAAGGTGGGAGCCACAGCCAGCGCACAGCCTAGCTGTAGTCGCACAGCCTAGCTGTAGTCGTGGGAGGCTGAGGGCCCGGGCCCTCAGAGCTCCTGATATTTCCAGGGGAGCTGGAAACCTAGATCTCGTAGGTGAAATCTCAATTAAAAAAAATGCTAGGTTACATGTATTTTTAACAATGTGCAGGCCAAATCTAACCCAAACGCCTTGGTTGGAGCCTCTGCTTTAAAGAGAGCTGGGCACACAATGAAGCTAGCAACGGGGAGCAGGCCCCGCCCCTCTGAGCACTGACAGCAGAAACCGGAGCTTCCCTGATGCAGCAGGAGGCGAGCGGAGTGCCCTGACGTCTATAATCGGACTCTCCACCATGTTCCTTTGGGGACAAATCCCTGTTACCCCAAAATCTTGACTTGAAATTTTAAGTTTCAAGTTCTGGTTAACCTACAGGGCAATTTTGTTTTTCTCTCATTTCTAATGTTGGCTTTTTCTTAACTGCCACTGAAGACTGTTCAAATCAGCCTGGCAGCAGCCCAGGCAGCAGCACCTCCGTGCTTTCTCCCTCTTATTCTCACTTCAGCCTTGCCTCGTTCGGGGCTCAAAGACAAAGCAGGTCAGTGACTGCCTTTCTGCCCACGTCAGCTCACCTCCTTCTTAGCAGAGTCACTGTTATGCCAATACAAAGCCACAAACAAAATTACAAGCTTAATTGTGAAAGTAAGTCGTCCACATACCCAGATTTACCACCCCATATGAACTTTTATAGCAGGTCTTGGAGCAAACCCCAGGGGAAATGGAAGTCAGTCAAGAGGAAGAAGGATTGAAGTTCAGGACTGAGCAATTTCTTGTTCTATAAAACATAGGATTTTTTTGTTCTATAAAACAAAGGAAAACCCCACTTGTTTCATGGTTAGCGATAGTCAAGCCCACAGCAAGGCTTTCGATCACAATTCATTCGATTCACACTTGACAAAGCCTTCACACTGTGGTATACAGGTCAGCCCGCTGGCACACGGGAAGCCCCAGGCAGCTCACCAGTTCCTCCCGCAGCTTTCCTAGTGTCTCTATTTGGTTACTCCGTGCGCTCAGCACCACCGAAAGCTTCTCCATGAGGATGTCGTATTTGCTCCTCCTATGAGAAACACAAACAGTTCATTTTTTCCACACCTATTGCTAGAGACTGCCCATTTTTCAAGACAAGATTTCCAGCCCAACTTGTGAACGTTGTGGCAGGAGAGGCTGGGGCTCTGAGCGGTTAGGCTGTTCGGCCAGGGGCCCCTAACTAGTTGCAGTGTGCAGACTAGACTCTATGTCTGAAGCTTTACTGAAATGATCCTTTAAAATGCATTAATTTTGACAATACCTTAAAGTTTAGATGGACATTTCCTTATCAATCACTTGGTGAGGAAGGACAAGGTTTATTTCATAAATAACATTAGGAAATGACATTAGGAAATGTCTTAGGAAAGCTTATCAGGAAGTTAATAAGCTTTCCTAAGACTCGGGCCCATGACGTGAACCTTGTCTGGCTGCCTCAAATCCAGTGCTCTTCCCTGGGTCAGGACACCACTCTGATTCCGGAGGTCTGGTTTCCACTGCTGACTTCACCAGACTGATGGACCCTCTCCTTACCCTGCACTGTTATTCTGAAGTGAATGTCACAAAAAATGCTTCCAAGCTAAGGGCCACCAAAAGCAGCTGCTATTCAAGAGACAAGGGCTCCTCACTGTGTGTGCCTGGAGAAGGCGGGGGGAGGGGTGCAGAGAGCAGCCCTGCCGCCAGCTCGGCCGGGGAAGGAGAACTGGGCTTTAACTGCCTGCAAGCCTAGGGGCAGGGAGGGCTTCTGTGTGGGATCAAGACTGCACCTACTTCTCCATTTTTACTGCCTCTCAGGGAATGAAAGACTAAATGAAGAGACAGCTATTTACTGCACAGGAACTACTACCAAGCAGTAAGCAGTAGCCATTATACAGAAGAGCAAAGTGCTTCAGAGAGGCCAGGTGACTTTGCCTAAGGGAGGTGCAAAGATTTAAATACAGATTTTGACATAGTCCATTGTTCTCTTTTCTACTCACTCCCACCAGCCTATGTTCTTTGTGGGTCACAGGCTACACACCATTTATGAATTTGATGGTTAAGACATTTAACCAGTAGACAGTATGACTAAATAATTAAAATGCAAATTATCAAAGTATAATTCTCTCTAACATATTATGATTTCTAACAAAAACCAGGGTTATCTACTGGAAGGCAGGCACATTGTAGTACAGGGTTCCCTCACTAGGTGTTCTAGGAACCCATCTGTGTCAGTGTACCAGCTGGCGTTGTTGTGAGAGGCCACGTTTGGCTTCAGTGAACTTTTCAAGGCATTTGCTCATTATATTATTGATGATTTATTGGGTTGGCCAAAAAGTCCACTTAGTTTTTTTCCATAGAATAAAAGACACATTTTTCGTTTTCACCAATAACTTTATATTTGAATATTTTGTGTATGTCGGCTCTCTCCTGCATGGTATAACATTGATTGCTCTCAATTAATGTCTCGATTTGATCACTATCAACTTCAACTGGTCTACCTGACCATGAAGCATCGTCCAGTGAAAAATCTCCAGCATGAAACTTTGCAAACCACTTTTGACGTGTTTGATCAGTCACAGCACCTTCTCCATATACTGTACAAATCCTTCTTTGTATTTGAGTTTTTACCTTTCTTGAAATAATAAAGCATAATATGTTGAAAATGTGGGGTATTTTCTTCCATCTTCAATGTTAAAACGGCTACATAAAAATTCACCAGTTTTGGTAAGATTTTTTTAAATGCATGCTGATATGACAGCTGTCTCACTATAATGTACCAAAATTGTTTCAAATGAAGTTGAAGACAACTAAGTGCTACTGGAGCCATCACATGGAAAACACCAAACGAACTTTTTGGCCGACACAGTAAGAGTGCACCTGTCCACATAGCACTTAGTGTTCAGCAGTTTTTAACCAAAAATGGAATGACTCCTGTACCCCACCCCCCCATTCACCTGATCTCGCCCTGAGTGACAACTTTTTTGTTTGTTGGTTTCCCTGGATGAAAAAACGTCCTCAAAGGGAAAGGTTTTGCCAACGTGGAAGAAGTGAAACAAAAATTGGCAAAAAACACTAAAAAGCATCAGGATCGAGGAATTCAAAACTGTTTTGAGAAGTGGAAAAAAATCTCGATAAGTGTATTGCATCAAAAGGAGAGTACTTTAAAGGTAACTGAAGTTTAAACATGTAAGAACACACAATTTTTTATAAGTAAATTTTGTTTTGGGGGGCATTTCCCCTCGTATTTCTAAAACACAGATCTGAAGACAAATTCAGAGGGACATTTTCACTCCTGGAAACCCTTAGTCAATAGTTAGCCTACACACGCACACCAGGTATTCCTCTGGGCCAACCTCTGTGCTTTGCAGTGGGTACCGTAATCCTTAAAACTTACGTGAAATCCTGAGTGTTTACCCTACTCCCTCCTCCCCGTGTGGAGGGTGTTCCTGGCCACTGGGTAGAGAGCAGAGCCTCTGTCATTTGGGGAGGACCGAATCACAGAGTCAGTCCCTGTGGTCTAGGGAAAGGGCCTGCCCACTGCCTCCCTGGACACTGCCCATCTCCAGCACGGAGGACTGGTGACCAGGCACTGGGGCGCACAGCGGACTCTCCCCAGGGCACTCATTCTAGGCTCTGTACCAGCTTCGCCCTTTCCCCACCCTGGTCTCTGCCCCTCCCGCAAAGGAGGGCACGGGGTGATGCAGTACAGACTGAGACCTCTCTGCAGTGTGGCAGAATTTCTTTCCCCTATTTCTGTGCTGGGTAATTAGTCACCCCAAGAGGGAGGATTTAAGAGTCAGAGACTTGCCCTACCCTGTTTGGCTCAGTTGGTTGTGCATCATCCTGAAAAGTGAAAGGCTGCCGGTTCGATTCCCAGCCAGGGCACATGCCTGGCTTGTGGGTTTGGTTCCCTGGCAGGTGCATAGGAGAGACAACCAACCGATCAAGATATTTCTCTTTCTCCCTCCCTTCCCCTCTCTCTAAAAAATAAATAGATAATAAATATTTAAGAGTCAGAGGGACTTACTCCCAGAGACTCCCTGGTTCTCAAGAAGGGAATTTCTTTTATCAGCTTGATGTACTGACTGACTATGATACCCAGACAGATAGCAGCATAATGTAATTATTTAGTAGAACCTCACCACCTCATCCACACAGGTTGATTGCTACAGTTACACGCTGTAAAAACACGACGTTAAATTGATGCAATTCAACCTCAACTCTGCCACCATGGCCAATCAAATTCAGCTTACTTTTATTTTACATTCCCCCCAAATACCCCCAAAATATTAGTAGTCCCTACTGCTGGGTTGTGGGGTTATTCTTTTCTGTATAATTTCCAGGTTTTCTAAATGAGCACGACTTAAGTTTTTCATATTCAGAAATAGAGAAAATAAAAGTCTTTTTAAAAAGCTGATGTAGTTTTCTGATTTGGCCTCTGATTTTTAACAGCTGCAATACAGACAGGACAGAGCGCTCTGGCCTTGTAACACTCACCTGTCCACGTGGAACCTGTTCAGCAGGAGGAGGATGGAATGCTGCTGGGCACCCGTGGGCAACCGGATCACGTGGGACTGCATGGTGATGAGCCCGTTTTTGTTCAGGATCTTCCTGTGGTAGTGCAGCTTGCCTGCATCGACCCTGGAGGAGGGGCGAGTGTCATTTTGCTGTGTTGGCTGCTTTCATACACCAACCTGGACATAAACCAGAGATACACGCCTCCTATCCAGACTATCTGAGAGAACAGCTGGTATGAAACAAAGGCCTTCGAAAGAACAGCCATGGCTCAGCCCAGGAGCAGGACCCAGACCTCCAGAAGAGGTAGGTGGGGAGATGGGTGAGGAGGCCAGGGCAAACAGAGCAGGCAGGGATGGCCAGGAGATTGATCAACTATAAGGAGATAATCAAACACGGCCAATAACTAGGGTGACCATACATCCTGGTTTGCCAGACAGTCCCAACTTATGCCCACTCCCTTGGCTCCCTTCTGGTCAGCTCTACCTTCCATCAACGTCTGGTTTGGACAATAAGTTATATGGTCACCACAGGGCTTCTTCAAAAAGAAAGCATTGTGTCCTGACTGGTATGGTTCAGTTGGTTGGGCATCAACCTGCAAAGCATAGGTGCGCCAGTTCGATTCCTGGTCAGGGCACATGCCTAGGTTGTGGGTTTGGTCCCCAGTTAGGGTGCAGGTGAGAGTCAATTGATCGATGTTTCTCTCTCACAGTGACACTTCTCTCTCTCTCCCTCCTGCCCCCTCTTTCTAAAAATAAATAAAACCTTTTAAAAAGGAAAGAAAAGAAAGCACTGCGAGGAAAGCATTCATCATGATTTAGGGACTGCCGAGAAGACAGGGATAAGAGGAACAGGGAGCACAAGGCAGCAGGCTGCCGCCTAGACGTAGTGTAGTGATCAGTGAGCCCTGTCACTTAAAGCAGAGAAGCAAATTAGCCCCTTATGTCCGAGATTTTCAACCTTCTTCATCTCACGGCACACATCGACTAATTACTAAAATTCAGCAGCACACCAAAAAATATATATTTTATGCTGGTCTGACCAAAACAATAGGTATAATTTTGGTTCATCCACACTGGACAGCTATTGTTGTGCTGGCTGTTGTCATTTTTTTTATTTGATAATCTAAGGGGAAAGAGGTCAGTGCCCCGGCCAACTAGTCAGGTATTGCCTGTTGTAAAAATTCTTGTGGCACACCGGTTGAAAATCGCTGCCTTACTTGAAAGCGGTGCTGTGGAGATCTCGCTGGAGCTCCCCCTGCCACCGGGACCGGCCTAATCGCTCCAAAATGCAGTAGGAGAAGTCGGGGAGTTTCAGGTCAGGGTCCCCCTCCAAGCCTATCAAGGCCCTGTAGCGCATGTCCTGGGAGGCAACGATGATCAGTTTCTTCCCCCACCTGCAAATCAGAAACAGCCACAAGAAGAAATCATGTTATGATTTTATGAAAATTGAAGCATGAAAAAGCAGAACCTTGGAGAATCATCATTTTCTGCCGCTTCTTAGAGGTTCACAATCCTTGAGTTAAGCTGGTTTCAGTCTTCGGACTAAGACGTGGTGCTGAGGGTGGGCAGGGCTGGCAGAGTCACTACTTTTTGTTTAAAGCCCCCCTGGGCCGTTCCAGGCACTCAGACCCAAACTGCAACGCCCCACCAGGGTGGGGAATGTCCTGTACACCCCCCATGGCTCTGCCCCTGACCCACCGTGAATGGCCCTCTGGTTCTGAAATGAGCTGTTTCCTCTTCCTGGCTGCTCTTTTCCAGGGTCTTTAAGTGACTAAAGTGACTGGTTCCTTCTCATCACTCAGTCACTGCTCAGAGGTCAACTTCTCAGGCCTTCCCCAAAATGGTAACCAGAGTACACCCCCACGCCTGACCATTGTTTCCTAGCCCTCTTGGAAATGGATGGAGGGAGATATATACACGACAGTCCTGTCTGTCTCCCCTTCTTCAAACAGAAGCTCCGTAAGAGGGTGCACCTTGTCGACTTGTCTACCAGGACATCCTCACAGCCTAGAATGACTCTGGTGCACAGTAAAAGCTCTTTAAATATTTGTTAAGTGAATGAACTAGCTTACTGAACTAGACAGGTAAAACGAACTTCAGAGTCAGAAACACTGAACTGTGTAACCAGTGGACTTGTATGTAGTCCGATGAAGACTGGACCTTGGACAAACCATTAGTTTCTCCCACTGACTTGGTGAGCACAAAATGCTGTAAAAGAGGCCAAGAATGCCACCTAGCAAGGCTCTGAGGTGCCCTGGCTGACAGCACTGATTTCTCCGCAGGGGCCTGACGGGCCCCATCACAGTGCCTCGTCTGCTAATGTAAATGCATGTCTTAGGCAGACTGGCCCACTCCACTCACACACTCTAGGGGTCCAGGCCCTGCAGCAGAGATCCCACTGGGGTGTGCAGACAAAGATCCCCCACCCACTTACTCCTTGGCATTGACATACACCCAATCGGAGAAGCTCCTTTTCCTGGATGAATGAGTCACTAGGGTCCATATGTAAGGTGCTATGTGCTTGCACCAGCGTCTACTTGTCATGGCCTATTGTTTACAAAGCCCGACCACGAGGTCTGCCTGTGCTCCTTCCTCCCACCTGCTCACTTCTACCACCAACTAGGCAAGAAGAAAAAAAAAGAAGAGGCTGGCTTCACTTTCACTTCACTGTAGCTCCCTTCTCATGGTAACCTATGCTAGTCTCCTGCAGAGTTGTGGGAACCTGTGCAGCCCGTCTTCAAAAAGATGAGATTGTGAACACATGCGGAAGAGAGCCTGCAAGTCACAGACTTGGGCCCTCTGCTCGCTGGCCTCAAAGCAGCTCATGAAGTTAAACTAGGAGAAGTCAATTGGGAAAATGAAGTTTGAAAAGTGGGGAACTGATTTTCCGCTTTAAAAATGTACTCAGATTAGTTTACTACCCTGTATTATCAAATTCCACAGATTCCCATTAGCTGATGCAACGACTCTGTTTGGCTCAATTGGCAGACTGTGGCCATCATACAGATGATCAGACACCGATTAAGCACTATGCAAATATATTCAGCCAGGTACATGAAGGTACCCCAGACCAGAATAAAGAAACCAAAGAGGAAAGAAAAAGAGAAGGCAGGTTTGGGGTAAAGGGGTAGGGGGCAGGTTACTGAAACATCCCATGTGACACTTGGGAGGTCTGGAGACTAGACAGAGCCACTGGGAGCAGCCAACATTGAAGGGGTAAAAGGAAGCTGGGAGTCCACAAAGGAGCTGGTGGGATCAGCTAAAAGAAAAGAAAAACAAAACAGAGAAGGAAGCAACAGGTGAAAAACCTTTAAAAGTCCCTAATGGTGTATAGGGGTCAAGAAGATTAAGAGCCTACCAGCTGTTAATAGGAATCTTAGAAGACATGATTTTGGTAGAAAAGGCAAAAATCAGGACCACAGTGGGCAGGGAAATGGAGGGGAGGGGAGGAAGGAGAAAGAGTGAAGTGAGTGTAGCTACTTCTTCCAAAAAACAAGGCTGCAGTCTCAGAAAGAAATAGAGCTATAGTTTCAGGGATCTGAGGTCAAGAGAAGGTCCTACTGTAAGAGGAGCAAGTCACATTAATGTGTAGAGAAGAGAGCACCAGTAGACAGGCGGAAACTGAGGATAAAGGAGAAAGAGGAGCTAACTCTTTCTCCTTTATCTGGCAGCTTCTCCCAGTTCAGTAAAGCAGAGAGGGAGGTGGGAATGGAGGTAGACAGGGGTTGAGAAAATGAAAACTTAGAGTAGTCACTCTGGGAAACTAGGGCCCTGAACGAAGACTCACAAAAGGACTGCTGGGCAGCATAGGGCCCAGCTCAGACAGAGGATGAGAGGCACCGATCCAAAGGACAGCTGCCTGCTCTGCCCACCCGGGCTAGCCTGTGAATACAAATGGAAAGAAAGGCAGGCCCTCCTGAGCAAGTTAACCCAAACCACAGTGCGGGGATGAGGCACTCTGACAGACATCAAGGCTGCAGGCCAATTCTGGTGCTCTGATTACACCTCTGACTTCAAAGCAGGAAGAGTCCCATGAGTTTCTGGTGGTGCAAGTCAGTTACCTGCCAAAGGCTTCCGCCATCGTACAACGGGGCTGCAAAGACTTAGTTCTGATGTCATTGGTAATGTTTTTCCTTTCCTTAAAGTACCGGCATGAGCCCTGGATGCCGTCCTTATTCTCTAAGATCATATGAATGGGGTAGACATCCTCCAAAGGGACCGGGTCCCTCTTGGACTCCAGAATTCCAGTTTCCAAATCGATTTCTTCATACCTAAGGAGGAAAGCACAAATATCAAGTCACAACTCAGCTTCAGAAATAATATGTGCTTGGTGCGTTGTGAGAACCTCCTGCAGAGATCAGAGAGAGCAAGTGAGATCACTGTCTTCCTGCCTTACAAATGCAGACCATCTTGACCAGCAATGGCCTCTGCCCCAGAAAACAGACCTTTCCAGGATTCCCCAAATCTCCTCCAAGAGCTGAACACTGGAACCTGAATCACCACACTGGCCCAAGTCATGGCCTTTTGGTTTCCCTCCACATCTGATGCCTAATCTCTAAACCCCCAGGTCTGGACCTAATGATTCAAGGTTTTCCTCCTTTAAGTTGTCATCTTTCCCTCTTGTTTTAGTGATCTCTTTAGTACCTCCATCCATTTTTAGTTTCAATGCATGTTAACAATTCTTACCATTGAATCCTCAATATGATTTCTCCACAAACATCAGTCCTGTCTTCACTTGTCTAACTAAACACCTCGAATTCAATGAAATCAAAACCAAAGTTATGACTGCCTCTCTCCACCTCCCATAAATCCCTCCTTGCCCTCCCTGGTACCACATTCTTCAAGTTGCCCCTTATCAACACTAGAGAGACATCTTTGACTGGGGTTTCTTCTTTTATCCATCCAGCCAAGTTTGTCACGTTCTCCTTAGAAATCTTGTTCACATCCTGCACTAGTTGAAGCTAAATCCCATATACACTTTTCAACACTTTCCTCCTTGCCCTCTCTGTGGCCTCTGCACTATTTACCCTTCCATTCTGAAATCACATTTTCCCCAGCTTCCTGGTCACCACTCTGAGCTGCCGCCATCTCCTCTCCAGCCACATCTTCCTTAGTCTTCTTCTGAAGGTTCCTAGGCCTCCAGTCAGGCTTTAAATGTAGGTGTACCTCAGGGCCTTGTCTTAAGGAATTCCACTATGTACTCTCTCATGGATGATCCTAGCCAACAGCTTTAATAATCAGCCATATGGGATATCTCTAGCTTAGTCCCTCCCTCTGACCTGCTTTCACTCACTTGAAGCCAGATGTTTACTAAACAGAATCTCCACTTACATAACTCAAAGGAATCTCAAACACAATGTGTCTCAGAGGACACTCAGCACCTTTCCACTTCCCCCAGACTCCAACACTGTGCTGCTCTTCCGTGTCCCCTCCCACAGTGACTGGCATCAGTGTGCACCCAGGTGCACAAACATCAGGAAGTGAAGGGCATCATCCTTGGTTCCCACTTTTCCTTATAGCCTACATCTAATCAGTCACCAAATCTCTTTTATTCGCCCTGGCTGGTGTGGCTCAGTGCATTGAGTGCCAGCCTGAGAACCAAAAGGTTGCTGGTTCAATCCCCAGTCAGGGCACATGCCTGGATCGTGGGCCAAGGCCCCAGTGGGGGGCATGTGAGAGGCAACCACACACTGATGTTTCTCTTCCTCTCTGCCTAAAAATAAATAATCTTTAACAAATCATCTTTTTTATTTTTCTGCCTCATGTCTTGATTCTACCTACCCTGTCTCTTCATTCTCCCCCTCACTATGGTGAGTTAAACCTCGGCTGGTTGTTTGTGATTAGATTACTACAAATCTCTCAATTTCACTCTTTGCCCCTAATCTAACCCTCCCTTGAGAGGCTTCCAACTATCCTTCTGATAAAGGATAAACTCTTTAAGTGGATGAAAAGACCACTGATTATGGCTCCAGCCCAATTTGGCTAAGGGCAAAGTGTGCTCTGTACCCAGACTTCCTGGACTCTAGTTCCAAGTTATGCCCTCACTAGCTGATGATGTTGAACAAATCACTTAACTTCTGTGAGTGCCTCAATTTTCTCTGCAGGAAAATGGGGATAATAATACCCACCTCCAAAGTTTATTGTACAAATTAAATAACTAGCTACATTCCAAGGTCTTAGAACAGTCCCAGCTCAAAATTAGCATGCATTTGTGTCTACTATTCCTCATTCCCTACCTCCAGTTCTACACTTCAACAACACTTATTTCTCCCCTTCAGGCTTCCACAGTTGCTGTTCACTTTTCAGAATATTCTGGCAACTGGCCACCTAAATCAAAGTCTTGTTTTGGACAGGTCTACCACTAGAAACCTCTTCTGTCCCTCACAATATGGCTTAAGGGCAAAGTCTCTGAAAACAGAGGCCTGGGTTCAAATCAACACATAGTCACTTATAATGTCCATAACTCTACTTTTATCTCTCTATGACTCGGTGTGCTTTTCTGCAAAATGGGGAAGATAACAGCACCCACCTCAGAGTCACTGTGAGAATGAAATGAATTTAATCTCCTGAAGATCCCAGAACAGGATCTTAGAATAGTACTAGACATTCAATAAATTCTTGCTGTTATTATTATTGCTAAGCTTGTTGTTATGCAGATCTCATTCCTCCAGTCTCCATCTGAACTGCCTAGCCGCTCCAATCATATCCTCCACTTGAGAGAAAATACTCTCTGAGGCTCGAATAATATAACCCCCTGTCCTGCTCCCCATCACCCCAAACTTGCATACGGACATAATAGGACATCACCAGAAGACTCCCCAATACATCAAACCATGACCCCAAACTCGATCAGAGGCTTGGGCCCTGCCAAGTATGAGGGACCCCAAATCAGCTTTACACAGCGCCCCCATTAGACTTCAGGTTCTCCCACGGCTCCATTCCTTTTCCCCGCCCTCCTTCCGTCGGAACCTGGTCCTCTCCCGGCTCCATCAGACCCAGGCTCTGACCCTACCCGCCCGCCCGCCCCTCAAGGCCAAGCCGCTGACCGGTCCTGGAGCTGGAGGTCGGGTCGCTCCCGAGGCTCCTCATAGAAGCTGATGCCTGGGTGCGTGGCAAGGGCCCTCCACAGAAACTCCTGCGTGTAGGGCTCCAAAGGGAGCGGGAAGGGCGGCACTCGGGTTTCCAGGCGGCTCCACAGCGCGGGCAGACACAGGCCATCAAGCCCCTCCAGGGCCACCTCGTCCAACAACGACTCAAGCGCGTCCATTGCTACTTCACTTGGCAGCGCCCCGGGCGCCTGCGCACCAAGGCATCAAGGGCCGCATCCAGCGCGCCTGCGCACAACAATAGGCAACACCGGAGGCGGGTCGGACCCGGCAATTGAAGGAGGAGTTCCAGAGCGTATGCGTGACGTCACACGCCTTGGGGGCGGGCTCAGCCCGTGATGCTCCACTGCCATTGGTTCGGAAACCCGCAGTAACCAGGGGAACTGCAAACAGTACAGAGGCCGCTTCCGGTTTGAGCGCCCGGAACCACCGCCTCCAGGGATGGACGGTGAGTATTGGTGGGCTCCTCCGCCCCCTCCCGCCCCCTCTGCAGGATCCTAAGCTACGAACCCCTCGACCACCTCTGCCCGACCCAATGTGATCTCGGGTCTGAGGAAAAAAAAAACCTTAGTGGTTCGGGATGGGGAGAAGAGGCTGGGGTTGGGGGGAGTGGTCAGTGTTCGGATTGCGTCGAGCTGTGGTCGTGTAGGAACCTCGTACGGGTGGGGGGTACAGTGAAGGGGTTTAGTAGAGAAAGGAGAAGTAGACGTCTGAGGAGGGTCTTGTCTGTGTTAGGATGTGGACCTGTGGGACATGGGAGTTGGTATGGGAGGTAAGCGTCATCATGGGGAGTGCAGTCATAAGCTATTGGAAAACGGGACTTGGTAAGGAGAGTGGGGGAAGACTGGGGAATACTCTTCTGTGCTTAGATGTTAATAATTAGTACTGTTCAGTGCCAAGAACTCTGTTAGTGCTGTCAAGCAACGCCTCGTGAACCTTCATAACAGCCCTGCCAGTTATCCCATGATACGAATGAGGAAACTGAAGCTCAGAGAAGTTAAATAACTTGCCCCAAATCAGCCTGCCAGAAAGCGGCAGAGTGAGAAAGGAACCCAGACACTTTGTCTCTGGATCTGAATTATGAAGTTTGAGATTTTGAAGGGTCTTTAGAGGCCCTTCATTCCAGAGAATACAAATGCGGATATCTGCAGGGGCAAGTCTAGTGAGCTGGGTTGGGCTGTGACTGAAAATCCTTATGAAAGAGAAGCTTCTCCCTCAACTCCAACCAATTATTGTCCTGGGGCACTTCTCAAAATACCGTGAAAATCAATCAGTCTGAAGGCCAGAGGCAAGCTGTGGGCCACCATTTAGGGGTCCCTGATTAGAATCACGGAATTGGTGATTGGAAGCAATCTAAACATAGGCTCTTCCGGGACCTCACTGTAGATGGCAAGGCTAATGTCTAGGGAGACTGGTAGGGCCTGTGCTAGAATGCAGATCATTTTTCTCATTTTGCTGCTGACACTTCTGGGGAATTTGTTCCTTTGTGACATCTACTTAATTCAATGTGGATTTTTTAAAAAATGATCAATGTTAGGTGCTTAAAAGACATCTTGCCCTTTGTACTCCAGAGGCACTTTGTCACTTGTACTTCAGAGGTACTATAAAGTGTCATTTGCCAGATTACCCTGTGGAAAGGTCAATGTGATACTGCCATAGAAAACCAATGCTCAAATCATTTTGGTCTCAGAATGCCTTTTTACTCTTAAAAAGAGTTTTGTTTATGTATATTAATGTCTATGATATTAACCATATCAAATTAAAGCTGAGAAAAATCTTAAAACATTTATTCATTTAAAAATAACAATCCATTACTTCTGAATATAAATAATGCTTTTTAATTAAAAACAGCTATAATACCTCCCAAAATACTAGAGGGAAAAGTGGCATTGTTTTACATTTTCTCAAATTTCTTCCCTGTCTGATTTAATAGAAAATAGCTAGACTCTCAATTTGGTTTCAGCAGCCAGACTTGTGCTGCTGTTGTGGCTGATGTGTATGAAAAAATCAGGCCTCACATAGACGAACAGTTGGAACAGGGAATATTTTAATTGCCTTTTCTGATAATTGTATGTATTCTTTGATACTGTACCAAAACTTAGCAAGTTGTAATTGCCTGCAGGTCACTCACACTGGGGCATCTGAAACCATATTGCTGAACTTTTGTGCTCTGTTACATTAAAATCCACAGGTCTATCTTGCTCTTCCATTGAATATTTTACCCATGCATGATTTGATAACTTTGGCATTGGTCATTTGGAAAATGTTACTTCACTGAGTTATGCAAATCTTCGAGATGTTGATATTGGAAATTTCACTCCCCAGTGTCAGATGGCATATTATTACATCATATAAAAAAATTATTCACTAATGTTACCACTTATCTCATTTTTTCAAGAGTTTAAGTGTTGGGAAACTATTGAACCCAGTGCAGTGGAAACAAGTTTTCTACCTGTTTCCACTTGAAACATTGGATTTGATCATTGACAACAAATGCTGTCAGTTGTTTCCTTGAAGTGAAAGGTTTACTTTCCTGTTTGAAAAAGTGTCTGCCAAACCACCCAAATCTGAATAACTATAGTTTGTCTGTTCTTTCAAGTAAAAATCATGTTCTATAAAATATACAATATATGGCTAGCTCAGCTGGCAACTCAATCATACAAGTGTTTTCTGGGATCAGCCATTGTACTTAGGCTTGTAGCAGAAATACTTTATCTGTCCATCCCATTTTCTTTTCCACACAGAATATTAAAAAATGTGTATTCAGAGGTTGAGATTTAATAAAATTAATTTTACTGTTTCACCAGGACAGCCTTAAAATGATTTTTTTTGTTTTGTTGTGAGTACATGGCAGTAAAAAAAAAAAAAAAAAGGAAAAAAAAGACTACTAGTACAGTTTAATGTCACTGCCTTGTAGCCACTCAGGCTGCAAGTGGTTTTATCTACTCTTCCTTTTGTGTCATCAGTATAAATGATCAACATGATGGAAAAGTCTTAGAATTGAGATGAAAATAGTTTTGTTCTTGGGAGCTCCTCTTCCTCGCAGGATCAGAGAAACACACTTTGAAAAACATTGCTATTGACCATTATCAAAAAGTCTGCTTATTCAGGTCTAATTTTTATCACCTCCGCTCTCCTCAAGCATTGTTATGGCCCAATGGAGGAACCCATTCATTTTTGGGTTGGTTATGAAAGGGAAAACTTCATTGTCCTTAAGAAAGTATTTGCCTTAAGATTAGATTTCTCATTCAAAGAGTCCCTTTTGCCATTTCAGTTTTTAAAACTTTGACTTATATGCATACCATTTTATAGGCACATATATCTGTTGGGTAAAGTAATATACACATCGATGAATTGTGATTCTAGCCAACTAGATAAACCAAGCCCAGCCTTATTAGAAAGGTGTTAACTTCTGAAAACCACAGAAGTTCAAATGACTACCAAGTGTCCCCAAACTGGATTGTAGTTGGGTTTATTCTGCATGTCCAAATCACCACAGCACTTCCCAGTGTTTTCCCTGGCTCATCGGTTTTGACTTTGGGCTTTGTGATGCAGTGCGAGGTAATGCTGCGGGTCTTGGGGACCGGATAGCTGCCCTGGATTTGAATCTCAGCTGTGTACTCTGACCAATCTGAGCCACAGTTTTCCTATCAATAAAATGGAGATGATGATGAAGCTTACCTTGTTCTGTTTGGTTGTCCGCTGGTGAACCCATCTTTGTGGACTCAAGCAGACTATGCGTGAATGCACTGGACACCAGGTCTGGCACATAAAAAGTGCTCCTCTGCTGTTGTGTGCACGTGGGCACATTTCCTCCTCACTGCTGACAAAGAGGGAGGCGGAATCTAATGAAGCCCTCCATCAAAAAGCAATCTTTGTAATTAGCTCACTCTTTGTTTAAAAGAAAAACTAATGTTTGACATTTTTTATTTTCGCGAAGGTAAATTGGTAATGTGTGAGTCTCCTGCCTGTGAAAATGCTCACCTTTACGTTAAAATCAAATTTCCTCCAGTGTTTTTGAAATGAGATGGTTTAGAAAAAAATTTCTACTCAGTTTTCAAGAACATAATTAGACAAAAGTTCAGCACATCAGTATAATTAGAAAGGATTTTAAAGCTGCTCATTTGCTTTTGCTCCCCACAGAGCAAATATTTAACATTTCCCTGTTTATACTGTTCATTTGCTTAGCAAACTCTCTCAAGGAATTAATAATGCAAAAGTGAAATTTAGCCTTGCTTGTCTGAATAACCCCAAACTACAGAATGGCTGAGAGCTGAATCAGTAAGATGTTGTAGAAGGTGTGGTGTCAGTGTGTCCTGATCTCTGCTGTTGTTGCATGGTTTTTGCCTGGATTTCTGGTGATTTGTCTATTTCTCTTACTACTTGCATGAAGCCAAGCAAAACAAACAAACACAAAATAAAGCAAGCATTCGATAGGCAAAATAAGTGTGGTCCACGTTCTCTTTTCCTTCCTTGGTTCTCATCCTTGAACCTGATTCATTTATTTTCTCTTGACATTTTTTGGCATTCATTCCACCCTGTGGTTTTAGCTCATAGGACCTGGCGCACAAGGTTTTGCTTATTTTCCTGAGGGCATTCATTCAGTGACTACAGGACATTCAAGTGCCTTCGGTGCTGGAATCCAGAGATTTCAAGATGAGTTCAGTTGAATCCAGATGAAGGGTAAATGGGAGTTCATTATACTAGTCTTAAACTTTTATGCAAACTGATTTTTTTAACATACAAGTTAAAAATTTTTATCCTTAAAAAATAGAGATGTAGGAAATTTAAAAAGGATTTTTTTTTGTACCAGAGGTTACAAATTGGGAGTCTCTTGCTGAAATAGCCCACAGGCATATTTATTTGGCCCATAATGTTTTGTTCCTTAAATTTTCAAATTAGTTCTTAACATTGAAAAATTAGGAGAGTTCTCATAAGTATCTGATGATGGTATTTTCTTTAAAACAACAACAAAGTGTTAACACCCAGGTAGCCTTCCACGTGGCCTCAGGGCCCTCCCAGCCAGAGCAGGGGGAGGAGGGAGGTCCCTGTGCCCCTGCAGCACCTGCAGGGCTGGCTTCCCTCATTGCACCCGTACCTGCCTGGGGCCCCGCAGACGTTTGAGGTTGCGATCCTGCCTGGGCATTAACTTGGACAATTTTGAAAATCCTTATGGACTTTGTTTGTACCATACTGCTATATTAAAACTAAGGGACAAGCAAGCTATACTTGTCCCTTAGTTTTAATCTGAAAAAAGGAGGGGCATGGATGTATAGTATTCTCTGCCCTTAAAACTTCATAATCTGATGAGAAAGCCAGACATAAACAGGCAACTACTGTCAACGCAAGTGTTGTCCAAACCTGTAAGAATTTTTATGAGTTTATTTGAGCCAAAATGACAACAATTGCCAGGAAGCAAAACATCGATGGGTTGAGAAAGTGCTCCGG